CTTGAGCTAAACTGTTGATTGGCTTCAAAAAGACTTCAGGGGATAGTTTTACTCTTAGGTTCGAAGATGATCTATCTTGGGGCAAGAGTTTCAGGGCTTTGTCCAGCCTTCGTGGCTCCATAAAGTCTACCTCCCCATAGAATTTGAAATTATATTCTGCAGTTTTCTCTCTCTTTTTTTAATCATCATATTGGGGGCTCATACAACACTTATCATAATCCATACATACATCAATTGTGTAAAGCACAGTTGTACATTCGTTGCCCTCATCATTCTCAAAACATTTGCTCTCCACTTAAGCCCCTGGCATCAGCTCCTCATTTTTATCCCCTCCCTCCCCACTCCCTCCTCCCTCTAGTTTTCTCTTTTGATTGGGATTATCCTGCAGTGTCTCTTGAAATTGTTCAGTCATGGTAGTTTGACACCATTCAGTGTTTCTAGTCTGGTGGCAGCAGAGTTCCTGGAGGCAATGAGCCCCATCTTCCAGGCCTGTTCCTCGTCCGCTCTCTCTGTCCTCTGTGGCTCCACATGAGCAGACCCCATTGTTGTGCTGTTTGCAAGCTTTTCAGATGCCAAGAGCAGCAGGTGAATTTCCTGTAAAACAGAAGCACTAAACATGTTATTGGCCTATGAACTGAGATGTCTTGTGAAACAGCGACCTCAAATCTCCAAACCAAGGAACCCACTACCATAAGGCATTTTTTTTGTACATACGTAAACAGCCCGAGCAACTTCTGTCTTATTTATTTTTCTCTTTTCGTCATTATTGTGAATAATCTGTCACACAACTTTTGCCAGTTCAACTTTTTAGTGGTGTATGGTTTAACAGCAGTGAAAACAGTTGGTTGAGCAATGCTACCTTTGATCCGTGGGATTTCTCCATCACCGTTACACTTCTTTTTTCCCTTTCTCTCCAACTCCTGTCTTTGGTGTGAGGTGTTATAGAGACTGGACCAATTCATAGCAACAGTGTTTCATTCGTACAACAGAATGAAAGGACACCGGTTCCTGCATCCTCCTCCTGAGTGCAACAATCCATCTCATTGAAAGTCTTCTACCTTCCTGGTTGACCCTCTTCTTTGCCATGCTTGGTGTCCTTCTGATAGATTGCCCAGAGTACTTGAGACTAAGACTTATCATCCTCTCTTCTGAGGAGCATTCTGGCTGTACTTCTTCCAAGACGAAAGTTTTAGTTTTTCTGGCAGCCCAGGGTATGTTCAATATTCTGTGTCAACACCGCAATTCAAGGGCACTAGTTCTTCCCAGGTCTTCCGTATTCATTGTTCAGCGTTTGCATGCATGTGAGATGACTGAAAATCTCATGGTGTGGGTCAGGTGCACCTTAGCCCTCAAAGTGACTTCTTTATTCTTTAACACCTTTGTAGCTGATTATCCAATGCAGTAGCATAGTTTGATTTTTTAACTGCAACTTCCTTGAACATTGATTGTGGATCCCAATAATGGGAAATTCTTGACAACCTCAGTCTTTTCTCTTTTCATAATAATGTTTATTTTCTTTATGTTGAGGTGTAATTCATACTGAAGGCTATAGAGCAATGGTTCTCAACCTGTAGGTCATGACCCCTTTGGGGGTCGAACGACCGTTTCACAGGGGTCGCCCAATTCATAACAGTAGCAAAATGACAGTCATGAAGTAGCGACGAAAATAATGTAAGGTTGAGGGGGTGAGGGCATTAGGAAGGTTGAGAACCACTGCTGCAGAGCATTTAATCTTCATTGGTCAGCCCATCAAGCCCTTTTTACTTGCAATAAGCAAGGTTGTGTAGCTGATGTCATAGGTTAAGGAGGCTTCTTCCAATCCTGGTGCAGAGTTCTCCAGGTTCTCCAGTTTCTGGGATATTTGTCCAACATGCATATTGAGTAAGTGTGGTGGAAGGGTACAACCCAAGGCACCTTTCTTGATTTTAAACTATTCAGTATCCCTTGGGGCTGTCAGCAGCTGCTTCTTGGTATATGGACAACTGCCACAGGAGCACAGGGAAGTGTTCTGGAACTCCCATTCTTCAGAATGCCATTCATCGTTTGGTATGATCCACGTAGTCGAATGCCTTTGCATCATCACTAAAACATAAACGAACATCTTTCTGGCATTCTCTGCTTTGAGCTAAGATTCAGCTGATGTCAGCAGTGAGATCCCTTGTCCCTCTTTGTTCCAGCTTGAATGTCTGTTAGCTCTCTGTGGATGTACTGCTGCAACTTTTTAAAATTATCCTCACCTAAATTTTACTTACATGTGGTATCAGTGACATTGTTTGATAATTTCTGTATTCTATCTGGTCATCTTTCTTCACAGTGGACACAAAAAGATGTCTCTTTCAATCGATTGGCCAGGTAGCCGTTTTCCAAATTTCTTGCATAAACAAGATAGTTCTTCCAGCACGGTGCCAAGTTATTTGAAACATTGCGATACTATCTCATCCATTTCTGTTTTCCCTAGTGCTTTTAGTGATGCTTAGACTTATTTCTTCAAGGCCATTCGTTCTTGATCATGTGCTACCTCTTGAAGTGGTTGCGCATCAACCAGTTATTTTCAGTACATTGTCCCTGTGCGTTTCTTCCATCTTCTTATTGGCTGAGTAATATTCCATTGCCTAAGTACCACATTTTGTTTATGCCTTTATTTGTTGGGGGTTGTTTGGATTACTTCCCCTTTGGTTATTATGTCACTGTTAGTTTTAAAGCTTATGATTTGGCATCTACCCAGGCAAGTTACCAGACAAGGGGAAATGATGTGTAATGTAGGTTTAACCCAAAGAGCTTACTGACATCTAATTATCTTTTCTGTTTAATTATCAAAAAGTCAACATTAGAATTTATTGTTAATTTCACTTTTTGTCACATTGTTTGGAAAGTGCTTTGGTCCCTGTGCCATAGATATTTTTAATAGTTTTCTGCCACTCCACCCCTGGACAGTAAGTGTTCTCTGGGTTGCGTTTCATTATGTTCAATTTGTGTTCCCATTCATTACCTGGCATACTTGTTAAAATGAAGATCCAATTTGGAGAGTGGGGTTGGCAGCATGCTGCAGTGTTAATAATATGGTGTAATACTGCAGATCCACGGACTACATATTGAATGAGAATGCTGTGGGTGGAAACGTATTTCAAATACCTTCATTTGATACTCTCTTCAAACTGGGTACAGTCTAGACTTGTCAGATAAAATACTTGTGTGTTCACCTAGGTAGACTAGAGAAGCAAATTCATAGACACTCATGTGTATAAGAAAGAGCTTTATATAAAGAGTAATTGTACATTAAGAAGACATCCCAGCCCAGTCCACATCAAGTCCATAAGTTTGATATTAGCCATATGTTCTGTGCCAACCTACAAAGTTCTCTTCAGACTCACGAAACACATGCATTGATGCCGAATGCAGGAAGATCACAGGCCAGTGGTTGGGAAGTCTTGTGTATCCAGTGGTGTTGTAAGCATCTCAGCACTGGTGTGGGTCCCCATGTGGCTCCTCCAGTTCTAGGGCTTTGGCGTAGCTCCATGTGTTTTGTCAGCTGCAATGTCTCCCAGGAGTGAGCCTGTGTCCCACCTCCAGAAAGCTATTTATCTCCTTAGCACCTCCAAATGTGGTCATCAAGCTTCGACCTGATTGATAGGCGGCTAAACTCCACCCCTTCCCTCCTAAGTCTCAAATTGACAACAGATTATGTAACCACCACAATTTGGTTCCTAGGATGCCACATACAATATTTGGGACAGATGTCTTCTAAAAAATGACTCACTATTTATCTGAAATTCAAATTTAACCAGATATCTATTTTGTCTGCCTATATTCCCGTCACTCTATCACACACACATACACACACATTTTCTTTCAGACACATGTACACACACTCTGTCACTGCTAAAGCTGGCAATTCTTATTTGCAGTCTGCATAGTATGTGAAAGGAGCCCTGGTATTTCGGTGGTTACGTGTTCACCTGCTAACCTCGAGGTCAGCAGTTTGAAACCAGCAGCCACCCCAAGGGAGAAAGATGAGGCTTTTTACTCCCATAAAGAGTTACAGCCTCAGAAACTCACAGGGGCAGTTGTAGGGATGCTATGAGTTAGAATTGACTCAATGCCATTGAGTTTGGTTTGGGTTTATAAAATGTGAATAATTTAAATATCATACATATTATTGCAGTGAAAGTAATAAGATTTTTTTTTTTTTAAGAAAGAGATTGGGTATATAGAATCAAACATCCATTTAGGTATTTTTTCATGTGCTTTCACTATAATATAATTAATAATATAATATATAATATACTAGTATTACTGTACCCCCATTTGGTAAATTCTTGAAAAATAATGATATCTGTATTAAAAAGTAGAGAAATGCCCTTTGTGGTCAGTATTGTAAGCCAAACACTTGAATCAATCTGTTCATATGATGACTTAAATTTGGGCAGCACTTTTATAAGTTTTTTTTGCCCAAAATATGAAAGGGGCTTCAAAGTTAGTGGGGAAATGGAATGGAAAGATAATGGGAATTTTTCCACCAACTTTAAAAAGCCCCCTTGTAGTATGTTATAATGTCTTACCTCTATGGCTGTGGTTATAATCCCATTTGGGGATGTGTGGTCTTTGTTATGTTAATGACATGGGATTAGTGTGGGATGTGTTTTGAGTCCATCTCCTTTGAGATATGAAAGAAATTAGACTCACCAACAAATTGAGACGGGGAAAGAGAGGCCAAGCCACGTGAAGCACACCCAAGAGCAGAAGCTCAGAAGAGACAAGGACTTTCCTCCAGAGCCAACACACACACAGGATCCCCTAGATCTGGTTTCTCCTGAACTGTGAAGAAACACGCCTCTGTTAAAGTCTCCTGTGTACGGTCTTTCTGTTAGCCTAGCATTAAATAACTCAGACTCTCAGTGAGCTGTCCCTGAATAGAGTCGGTAGTTTCAGACACTGGATCCGTTCTCTCTTGTTGTCTATGGAAGAGAGTATATGTGCTTTCCTTTTCTTTGTCCCTTCAGATTCTTCACAGAGTTGGAAGCAAGACATCAGAATAATATCTTGATTGACGATATAAGCGACATTGTAGAGAAACACACAGCCTCCACCTTTGACCCGTATGTGAAGTACTGTACTAACGAAGTCTATCAACAGCGGACCCTGCAGAAATTATTGTAAGTGCTGCCGAGTGGTTCAGTAGGCTGACCTCACTTTAATTAGACCACAGTGACTGAAGTGGATTGATCTATTAGATCACTGTTAGAAATGATTCCTGATAGACCATTCCCTAGGACAGAAGTGCTTAAAAGTAGTACCATCAAGACAAGAGGGTCAAAAAGCCTAGACTGTGTAGAATTTTCTTTATAAAGCAATTATGAAATCATTGTTACTATTTGCTTTGTTGAAAAATTGCTACAAGACACTGAGGTGATCATCATCCCTTCCCATTTCCCAGCTTCCTCGGGTGTTAACCTGACTCAGGACTGGGCAGTGCTTCATTCTGGTCTACACTGGGCCACCACGAGTTAGTCAGTGGGATGACAACTGATTGTAATGGACAGTTGTGCGGTTTACCAGGAGCCCAGAGAGGGTTCTTTAGTAGATCCTGCTAGAATCTAAGGACGCAGCGTCTTCTCTACTCTTCTGATGTTTTGCCATGAAATGGCTACTATTTCAGTGAATACACACGCACACACACATACACACTCAGTAGATAGGAAAGGAAGCACTATTTGACGGAAAGCAAATGAAGAAAATGTTCTTAGAGGTTTTATTTCTGCAATAAAAAGTTACACATTATGTTTCACTCTACACTTCCCCCCACTGTCCTGCCAGTTACTGAGGGTTTGTGCATGATCATGCATACATGAGAGGGCTCAAAAAGTTCATAGAAAGGTTTCACTATCTTCTAACTCCATTTTTAGGAACTTTTTGAAGCCCCCTTGTATATACCACTTGTATCTTGGTGTAAGAGGCCACGATTCTTCAGTCAATGTCTGTCTTGTTTCTTTTCAGAGGCTCCATCTATCACACAGAGCCTTTGCTCTATGGTACAGTGCTACACTGCTGTAAGCTCACTTCGGGGGAGGGGGGGCTGTGTAATTGCTCTCCTCTCCTCATGAGTGGAGCTCTGGTGTGTGGGGTGGGTGGTAGTCAATGGCAATGTCCTCACGGCTGCTTAGAGAAATGTAACCCGCTGAAGCCTCTCAAGTCAGTAAGAAGGGTGATGATGCATCCTCTGGAAACTTTGGTATGGACAGAGTGGAAACCTACAGCTGCTAATCTCAAATGAAGGTTTTTGTTTTAATCTTTTGTACAAAGCAGAGTGTCTGAGATTCGTCAGCACCTTGACGAAATGTTTGTGTTGTATGGCAGTCCCGTGCACTGCTGGATGTGTAGTGGGGTCCCTGGTCTCTATCAGTGAGAAGCCATAGCGTCCCCACCCCAGAGTGATAACTCCGAATGTCTCCAGACAGCACCGAATGTCTCCTAGGGGGAAATCACACCCCTTTTCTTTCCCCTGTCCTCTCCCCCTGTGATTCTGACCAGTAATAATTGGTTTGAAATTGTCCGGTAAGTCATATTGCATGTTTGTAAACGAATCCTTGAATTAGAGCTCAATCCAATTTTCATGTTGTTTTACAGGAATTCAAAAACTGTGACTTAGTACTGCTGTACATTATTTAGATGTCAAAAAAAAAGGTTTTAAAAAAGTTTTTTTAGTAAAAATTTTTGTTTTTTTAGGGGCTCTGTGGCAGTTGATGTGACTTTATGGTTAGAGTAGTGACTTTCAACTTCAGCTGTCTATTAGAAATACATAGCTCTCTGCAAATAAGAATCTATCCTGATTAGCTAATCAGAGTCCTTGTGTGGGGGGGTCAGGTGGCAAGGAGCTTTTAATATGCAACCGTTTTAGAGTTTGATTACTTTTTTATCTTCTTAAAAATTCTTCTTAATGTACACCTTATTGCCACTAGGTCAATTCCCATCCATAGTGACCCTGTAGGACAGAGTAGTATAGCCCCTTTGAGTTTCTGAGACCTTAAATCTCTACAAGAGGAAATAGCCTCATCTTACTTTCTAGGAGTAGGTGAGTTTGAACCATTCAACTTTTGGTTAGTACCTCAAGTCTACACCCCAGGTCTCAGAAGCTTAAAATTCTTCCATCTGAGGGAATGGAAATAAAACATTTCTGTTCGATTTCTTTTAATATACTAGAATGGGCACTGGTTAATTTCTTTTTGGCAGATCTCATCCAAATCATCTTATTTTAAAATACATGAAAAATGCCCACAACTGCTACTGCTACTGCTCTGCTTCCCGGGCTTCTCAGGGCATAAGAATCTAGCATTCAATACTACCACCTCCCACACTCTGAAGTTGGAGACCTCTCCATTCTTCAGTCTCTTAATGGAATTCTTATGTGGCCTTCCGTTAGAACTTATGTGGGTGATTCCATATGGGACAATATCTTTGGGGGTACCTTATCTTGCCAAGTTCCACAAATTTATTGTGGTAGTGCTAAAATATTGTGGCTGACATGGTTCAAAGATTCTCTGTCTTAGAAAGAGGACTGTTGAAAAAAGCCACAAGGCACCACTAGTAAATAAACCTTTTCCGACTGACATTGCTTTCTGGGATCATTGTCAAGGGCTAGAGGAGAGAATTAAAAGCATGTGGTTTGTTAACTTCTTGGTACATTGATCTTAGATGAAATCAGTTCTGTATATTAATGGATAATTGATATATTCAACATGATGAAACCCTTACTGCTTCATGTGTCTACATTTTCCTTGATAAGTTTCTAGCCAGACATTTCTCTCTTATTGTTCGTTATGTTATGTTAAAACCACATCAACCTCAGATGTGTGGCAGACAAGATATCTATGTAGTTAGGTGCTGATGCTGCTAGGTTCCTATATACTTAGAAATCACTGGTAAGGTATGAGTTCACTCCGGTGTTCTTTAGGCCATTTTATGTGCTTCTTAACATGGAGTAGGAAATGTTTGCGCGTTTTTATGTTTGTTTCTTTTCCCTCAGAGCCACCAATCCATCATTTAAGGAAGTGTTATCACGCATTGAGAGCCATGAAGACTGCAGGAACTTACCCATGATCTCCTTTCTCATTCTGCCTATGCAGAGGGTGACCCGCCTTCCCCTGCTGATGGATGTAAGAAATGACCTGTCCTGTGCCTAACTGTGCTGCTATAAATCTAAAAGAATTATTCTTATTCTACTTGAATCGATGCATATCTCTCCTAGAAAATACTCCAACTGAGTGAGAAGGTGCTATTTTGGGGGAAAGGTGCCGGGGTGTAGCAATCTGCTGCCCACGTAAAAGTTGACACTTTGAACACTCGCCCTGCAGTTCTGCAGAAGAAAGATCTGGCAAGCTGCTTCTGTAATGAGTCCAGCCCAGAAAGCACCATGGAGCAGGTCTGTTTTATGAGCAGATAGGAGCCTGGGGCCACCCACCTCTGTGGCAGTCAGCATAGGCGAGAAGGTGTTGTTTGGCTAGGAAGTCTCGCCTGTGTCTGACATATTTGGCAAAATTATTAAGGAAAGCCTGTGTGGTCTCGTCATAGGATTTAGATTACATCACCCATTTGCTCCAAGTTTTTTTTGCAAAGGGAAGAAAAATGACTTTAGATTCCATTTCTGACCGAGGTACTAACTGGACATAGGCCTTTGGGCAAGTTACTTCATCTCCTTGGGCACCCCTCCCCCCACCGCCACTGTCAGATTGATCGCACAGACCCCTTCTGCCTGAAGCGTTTCAAGATGCTGTTGGCGCTACTCTAAGAAACGCTCTCCGTGTAACAAGACAGAAACTTGCCCTTGATATGCTTTGTACAAAGTGGCTGAGAAAATTCAGCCCCTCCTGATTTCAGGAATGTTCATGAACAAGGCCAGCATTCGACTTTGAGCACTGCCATGGGAGGCCTAGGAGAAAGAAGTGAGCAGAAATCTGTGAGCCACATCTGGGAAGCAGCCAGGTCAGGCCAGGAGGCCTGCATGCAGGCCATGTTGGAGCCACAGTGGCTCCTGGGGCGGGGGGCATGAGAAAAGGAGAGGCTGGCCCAGCACAGATGTGATTCAACTAGTGGTGTCTTCTTGGCCACATAAGGGCACTTTTATCCCACTTTTCCAATTAATGAAGTGTCGGCTTTCACAAATGAAAGCCTCCAAAAGAAATGGAGTCATAACATTGTGCTTGGAGATGGTTACTAAATTCCTGGATTTTCTAGATTCAGTTTCCCATTCCATGATATTCAGGAAGAACTCTACATTTTTTAAATGATGTAGGAGCCTGTAGTCCTCGGTTCCCCTGTTGACGCTGCTACAGAGTATAGGAGGCGCTGGGGGATGGAGGTAGGGGGGCAGCGGGGTCATTAGAGTTGTCAGCCCCTTACTGCCTTCCATGTTCAGTTCAACCTGCTCTCATTACTCCCTTCCCCATTCATTACCTGGTATTTAGAAACTGCCACCTGCCTAAATGTGTTTAGAAACTTGCATTAGTTCTCTGCCTTTTTGTTGTTGTTTTTCTTAACCACGACTTAAAAAAAAGTAGAATCCATTCATGTTATCAAAAACAAAATTTGGCTTAAAACAGGTTGACTCCATTTTACTTTTAAGACTTGTGAAGAACATGAAATTTGATCCATACAGACAGATATTATTTGAGACACCCTATTTTGTCATAGCAAACTGTATTCCTTTTACATGTATCATTTTGTATAGAGTTGGAGTTAGAAAGTTTAGGGGTTCATTCTTTCATGGGAAAACGGGATCTCTCTAAATACAACTTTTTTGGGCCATGTTAGAATTTTTAGAATTCGACCTTTTTTCTGCAGAAAAATGTAGTTTGGTTGTGTTTCTTAGATCCCGCCTATGCTGTGCTCCCCCAGCGATGCTTATCCTCCCTCTTTAATTTGGAGGAGTTATGTAAGTAGGCTGGGACTCTTACACTATCTCATGCGGAGCATGCTGTACAAAGTGGGAGCTTAGTGCCTTGGTTTCCCATGAGCTCTAAACATCTGCAGTCACAGTTCCCTTTGAGATTAGAGGAACGCTGTAGCCACTCCTCCTAGGAGTTCTTGTTTGCACTGAGTATTACGTATGAGCGGTCTCACAGTGTGCATTGCACGGTGGCCTGTGAGGCAGGAGAGCTGCTCCCAGGGACGCGGACCAGTGTTCTGCAGACTGCTTCTGCGCCTATTAGTTGTTTGCTCATAGTAATGGAATTTTAATCATGCACACCGTAAAAGAAAAGAAACAATAACATATATTCATGTGTGTGGCCCATGATGTAGTTCAATAATAAATCTAAACAAAATCTTGCTTCATTTATGTGTGGCTGTATGCAGCAGTTTTAACCTAGTTCGTACAGTGGGTCACAGGCAGAAACATTTGAGAGCTATTAATATACACCCACGGATGGGGCACTGTGTGGTTCTCATATATCCCACATAGCAATCCTATAGCCTGACTTCCTGGTTTAATACCTCGGTGTTGGTCTCCACTTACAGTGCCAGCGGTTTGCTGATAGCCAATGGCCTGTCACCACTGCTAGATGCCTGCTGACCTAATCTGTTTGCCATCAGTGAGAATCTGGCCACCTAGGCAGAATCCAAATACACTGAAATTTCTCTTCAATTTTAATTCTTTTATGAAGCACGCGTCTTCATTGAAATGAACATGTTTTCAACAATATAAATGGTTCTGTTGTCTTTGAATGTATGTTTTCAGAAGTTCTATATATGTCAGTTTACCCTGAACTGACTTTCTTTGAACTCCGTTTCATAATCACAAATGAAATTCAGAAGTATAAGATTATCAAGGAAGACCTCGATGGCCTCCTCTTCTTAATTATTTAAATTCACATTATTGTATCATCTTCAAATATAGTTACCACTAAGGATAACCATCATAAGTAAAGTAATTCTTACCATGTGTTGAGGACCGTATGCTGGGCAGTTCGGGAGACCATGACATGCATTTTTCTCCTTTAATTCTTGCAATAATCTTGTGAAATAATTCGTTAAATGAACCAAATTTTACAGATGAGGAAGCTGAGGCTTCTAGAGTCCGTGTAGGTGACATGCCCAACGCCCCAAAAGGACAAATCTGGCATTTGAAACTGACTCCTGCCACCTCTGACCCTGCCCTCCAACATAACCATTTTCTGCATTGATTTGGACCCCACATTAAGTTGAAAGGCTATTTCCTAGTTTTCCACTTGAACTGTAATGTCATCTTCCTGTGTTCAGCAGCGTTAACTTTATTATAAGGGAGAAGGTATGGATAAACTGCTTTTATTCTGCTTAACCAAAATCAATGACTTCATTCACTTTTACTTCATTGTAGACTATCTGTCAAAAAACGCCCAAGGACTCTCCAAAGTACGAAGTCTGCAAAAGGGCCTTAAAGGAAGTAAGCAAGGTAATTGTTAAGTAGTTCTTCAGACAGGCAGCCATTCAGATGCCCTGGAAGAGACTGTGTCTTGGGGTGCTGCTGAACATTACTAGATCCTCACACACTTTTCACTGCATAGTTAGGGAAGAAAAGTATGTTTGCCATGCTTAATTCCCGCCCCGCCCCCCTTTCAAACAGCTTTGTTTTAAAGGCCAATCAATGTCTCCACTCCTTTTTGTATTTGAAGAGTTATTCATTCTCTCATTCAATAAATATTTATTATTTCATCTTGAGCCAGGCACAAAGCCAACCCTGAGAACACGGTGATGAATAAGGCAGATACAGTCACTGCCCCCATAGAGCTTCAGTGCTATGAAGGGGCAGACCTTCCATAAGAATTACAGTCAAGGATGGTGATTCTGTAGGCTGTGTCCTAAAACAAGAGAAGGTGTGAGGGAGGACCTGTGGGAAAGAGTTTCTTCATTGGCTGTAGAGGGCCAGAGACAGGGAAGTGTTTGGTGAGTTTGAAGAGCTGAAATGGTCTT